TGGCAGGTTTTTCATCAGTGGGGCCTTTGTTGTTGGTTCCTTTTCATGTTTTGTTTTGCGGTGTAAGTTCCATTTCGAGTGCTCTCCAATCCGTTTTCAAAGCCTCCGTGACGGAAGAGTCCCGGGGTCTCATGTGTCTCATCTCTGGGGTCTGCAGAGCACCGGGAAGAAGTTCCCATTATGCTGGGTTAGGATGCAGAGCCTGGGAACGGCCGAAAAGACAGGTCAAAGCCTAATAATTCCAGACGTAGTCACCCTAGTTTGACAAAACTTAGGACATTAAAAGCACTTTTAATTTTATTATTATTTTTTTTTAAATCACTTTTTTTTCCTTGCCAAATTTCATAGGTCACACTTAAGGTAAACCTTTGGCTCTATTTATTGAACTGGATGAGTTGTTTTAGGGACAACTGAAGTGGTGGCTGCCAGGGGGCCCTTTGGTGGTGGTCACAGCGGGGACCTTGTGCTGTCTTAGGATATGGTTACAAAGGCGGCCAACTCCTAAGAAACTCATACTTTTTCATTTCTTTTGTTCTGCAAAAATGTCAGCTGCATCACAGTATCTGAATCAGAGTTTACTCATTAATTTCTTTCATGGAAAAGGCCTTCATGTAATCTTTGGAACCAGGAAAAATATAATTAAACCAGTGATTCCAGGGGCCATAAAATATAGATGTAAAACTTCCCCCACCCTCTGGAGGTTGACAGTTGAAGATATACTTTGTGTAGATAAGATATAATCCATTCTGTATAAATGTTTCTTCTGACAAAAAAGGTTAAAGGTGGGGGTGTTTTGTTGTTTGTTTTTTTGGTTGGTGACGGTGGTGATGGTATTTGTGTTTTAAGAGAACAAGTAGGAAATACCCTAACCCTAAGGTTTATCAGAAATCCTGTGTGCTTCAGACAGAATTATTCATGAGAGGTCAGACAGTGAGGTTGATTGTAATTAAACTGGGAGTGTTAAAGCGGGAGAACTGCCTGGCTGGCGTGGCTCAGGGGTTGAGCATCAACCTAGGATCCAGGAGGCTGCAGTTTCATTCCCCGACAGCACACATGCGGGGTTGTGTGCGAGATCCCCAGCAGGGGGCGTGCAGGAGGCAGCCCATCAATGACTCTCGTCATTGATGTTTCTCTCTCTTCCTCCCTCATTCCCTTCCTCTCTCTGAAATCAATAAAAATATATATATTTTTTAAAGTGGGAGAACTGAAGAACTAAACTTAATGGATATTAATACGGAAAGATCATCAGAATAATAGCAAGACACACCTTGGACATACGTAGCTGTTCAGTACTGAAGGATGGATGCTGGCATGTGAAAGCCAGCAGCTGATAGTATTAGTTTCTTCTTGCCGAGTCACCTGTTCCTGATCATCGATACTGTATATAGCAGTTCATGTCTTGTGGAAAACCTTCTTGAGTTTGACCCAGGTGCAGTTAGTCAACAAACACTCATTAAGCACCTTTTAAATGTTAAGCCCCAGAAGTGTCCTAGGAAGGAGATTCCTGCCCTCTCATAACTTACAGTTCAGTGGGAGAAGCAGTTAAGAAGTGTCTTGATGATGGTGTGTTAGGGCAGTAAGGAGAGTCACCACCTCAGGCCGAAGTCCAGGCCACTGGAGGAGGGATGTGGAAGCTGAGTAGGCTCCGGGTGAGGAGCCCGGATGTCCAGCGTGGTGAGTGAACCTGCTGGTAGTCAGTGCGGCGGGAGGCGGGCGGGTATAAGAGCAGGTGGGAGCTGAGGTGGGCGCCAGGGAGAGGCACTAACTCACTAAGGGCCTTGTTTGCTGCTCCTAAAGCTGGAGTTTGCCCAAAGGCTGTGGGAAGGCAGGAAGGAGCCCTGTTGAGAGGTCAAGGCTGGGTGAGAGTGACTCGAGGCGCACCTGAGGGCGACCGTAATGATCGAGGACAAAGACCTGAACGAAAGCAGCCGGCATCATCGTGAGCCAGCTAGAAAGTAAACTTGATAGGGCTCAGAAGAGGGAGTGTGAGATGATCCTGAGGTTTGGGGCTTGGCAAGCTGGGCGTGTTTTTGGGAAGTGGGCTTTTCACAGCGGAGGGGTATGGGATGAGGGTAGGAGCGCTGGAGGAAGAAGATGATGCAGTTATTTTCGGATGTGTTGAATTTAAGATGCTGTGGAGACATCCCAGTAGAAACGGGCAGAACACAATTGGGCAGATGGTTCTGGCGGTGAGGAGAACATTCTGGTTGGAAACAATGGATTGCTGGGTGAGGCCGCCCAGGAAACAGCAGGGGGCCAAGGACGGAGCTGTGGGGTGTAAGGAGCCTGAGGAGAGAGCTTGATGACTAAGAGAAGAGCCATGCTAGTGTGGTGTCTTGGAAACCAAGCAAGAATGGCGTTTTAGGGGAGAGGAAGTGGTTAATGGTGTCAGACGAAGGGGCTCTGGATACAGTAAGGACTGCTGGATTTGCAGCTGGAAGGTCTTTGGTAACCCTTGGGTAGGAATGCAGGCAGAAGACCTCTCAGTAATTTGCACCACCCATTTCAATAAATGGCGGCACCATCCATCTGATTGCTCAACCCAGAAACCTATTCCATCCTTGGTTCCTCCCTGCCCTTCATCCTGCACATCCAGTCAGCTCTCCTGTCTCCAAAATGCATCTGGAATTCACCCACTTCTTTCCCATCAGTGGTCCACTCCTAGCATTTTAGTCAAAATCACTGCCATTTTTGCCTGTATTACTGTGCTAGCCTCCCAGCTGGTGTCCCAATGCCCCCCCTCTTGCCTCCTTTTTAAAAAATCCTAATCTGAGGGTATGTTTATTGATGAGAGAGAGAGACAGACTCGGTTACCTCCCATGGGCACCTGGCCAAGAATCAAACCCGCAGCCCAGACACGTGCCCTGACCGGGAATCAAACCCGCAGCCCAGACACGTGCCCTGACCGGGAATCAAACCCGCAGCCCAGACACGTGCCCTGACCGGGAATCAAACCCGCAGCCCAGACTCGTGCCCTGACCGGGGATCAAACCCGCAGCCCAGACACGTGCCCTGACCGGGAATCAAACCCGCAGCCCAGACACGTGCCCTGACCGGGAATCAAACCCGCAGCCCAGACACGTGCCCTGACCGGGAATCAAACCCGCAGCCCAGACTCGTGCCCTGACCGGGGATCAAACCCGCAGCCCAGACACGTGCCCTGACCGGGAATCAAACCCGCAGCCCAGACACGTGCCCTGACCGGGAATCAAACCCGCAGCCCAGACACGTGCCCTGACCGGGAATCAAACCCGCAGCCCAGACTCGTGCCCTGACCGGGGATCAAACCCGCAGCCCAGACACGTGCCCTGACCGGGAATCAAACCCGCAGCCCAGACACGTGCCCTGACCGGGAATCAAACCCGCAGCCTTTGGCATGCAGGGCTACCCTCTAACCAACTGAGACACCCGGCTAGGGCCCCTCTTGCCTCTTTTTAATCCACTCTTCACACAGCTGCAAGAATGATTTTTATAAAAATGCAAATCAGATCATGTCACTTTCTCATTTAACACCTTTAACGGGTTTCCATTCCACCCCAGCTTCGCCACGCGTGCCTGCCGCAGCTGCGTGACCCCGGCTCTGCCCGCCTCTCTGACTCTTCAGCTGGCGCCACTTGCCCCCTTCCTGCCCCCTTCCTGCCCCCTTCCTGCTCTCTGACTCCTCCCCACCTCCGGTCCTTTGCGTTTGGTGTGCTCTTCCCCACAACTGCCCAGAGCTGTCTCCTTTTCATCTTTGGCATGAATGTCACTTTCAGAGGGACCTTCTCAAACCACCTTCTCCAGAGGAGTCTCCCGTTATCATCTCCTGGCCCTGTGCCTCTGTGTTGTAACCTCTCACTCTTTGGTTTTTCTCTTTTTCCCGCCACTAGAACTCAGGACAGACCCAGTGTCTGTCCTGCCTATGGAAGTATCTCCAATGCTTCGCTTCATGGGTACTAGATGCTAATAAGCACGTGTGAAATGGCCGTGGGCCGCGGGCATGTCCTGGGTGACAGTTTGTTAGTGGTTTGCAGTGTGTCATCTGAATTACTGTTGGTCTCAATAACTGTTTGTTGGGAGAAGGGGTCTTTTTTCCGGGTGTGATTTCATGCGTTATCTGACTGTTTATACCCTTTCCCATTTCTTATTTCTGAAGCAGTGTATGAAATGAACAAACTAACATTCTTTAACTACTTTAGCACCATAGCTCTGGGGTGACTAGTTACTACATATTTAAATTGTTTTATCACCTTCGAGGTAGTGCCTAAGGTTTTGTCAGTAGGACTTCCCTGTTTTTTGATGCTCAGCACAGATGTCATTACCAGTCCCTCAGCCTTTTACTTAGTTACTCCTTGGGGTAATAAAGCAAAAACTTAGATTTAAAAAATATGTTCTTTTTTTTAAGGGTTTTTTTGTTGTTGTTGTTTCTGTTTGGTTGTTTGTTTTTTACTGATTTATAGGGAGAGGGAGAGAGAGAAACATCTATGTGAGATCCGTCAGTGGCCTCCCCCCACGATACCCCCACAGGGATGGGGGTGGGGGGAACGTGACCGATGACCGGGAATCTGGGGACCTCTCTATGCAGGGGACGAAGCCCTACCAACGCGCCGCACTTGTTTCACCCTAGCTTCCCGATATTCACCGGGCTCTGACACTGCCAAAGACAGACAGACAGACCTTAGAGTGAGAGATGTGTGTGAAAAGTACATAAAATGCAAATCTGTGTTTGCACAGCCTTTAGTCACTATTCAACCCAAATGCAGACTCCGGGGTGCCAGGCACTGTTGGAGGTTGTGGGTGCAGCAGGGAGCCTTGGTTTGGTTGGAGGTGCCAGGCAGCAGGCTGCTCACTCACGCAACAGGCACCAAAGGACACATTCAGCTCCTGGCAGGCGCTGCTTCTAAGGAAATATGATTCACTGCTTATGAAAATTTGCAGTCATTAAAAAAATAAATACCTACTTGCATGACAAAGTAGATATTTTTTAAATTTACAAAGACTACGGTTGTGGGGGTTCATTAATGACTGATCTTTCCTCCCGAGTTTTTAAAATGTGACTTCATGGGGAAAAACTCGATATACACAGTTTTTTACAAATAGTATTTCTGCCTCCCCTCCACCCAGTGAATGCTGGTCTCCCTGCTGTTTCTCACTTCCCTTTCTGTCCCCACTGAGGCTGCTTTTCTCCATTCACAGCCACATTTCTCCTGGATGATTAGCATCTGCCAACTGGAGCCTCAGGGTGTTTTTATTTAAATCGTATCTCTTATCTGAAGTGCAAACTCTCCGTGTAAGTACATGCATCTCACTTGTCCCTAAACCTTAGAAAGATTTTACTCTTGCTTCTAAGACCACCGGCGTCATTTAAAAGAGAATAAATGGTTTGCTTTGGCATAGAACTCATTCTAGATTAGTTCCGTCTTTAACACCCATCAAAGGGGATTTAATTATAAGAACTGGGAGCATCTCCTGAGGTCTCAAGTATCCTATGGCCCTGGGTCTTGGTCCCTAAGACTGGTGTGAGCAGAATATTCTTAGTGAGCCTCCTTTCTGCCCTTTCCACTTATTTTGGCAAGTGCTTGACATCAGCAATGCCCAGGAGACCAAACCAAAGCCCTTGGAATTTTGGCCGCTGTAAGAAGGCGGAGGTCAGCTGGCTTTGTGACCAGTCGTAGTGCCTGAACTGAGAAACTGTCATTGTCCCCTGGGACATTTATATCTGTGCCCTTAAACCTCTTTGTTTATTCATTATTTTTTGAATGCATGTGGCTGCTGAACTGTTTTATTCACTTATAATTTCCCCTTGGTTCCATGATGCCTTTACCCAAGAACGGGACGACTTCGTTGATAGAGTCTCCTTTATTCATTTATTACTTTTTTCTTCCAAACTCTGAGTCTCTTAAGAAGTGCCAAGACTTGGCGATACCCCTGATCTGCTGTCAGGGCCTGCAGCTTGAATAGTTTTCTAGCAGCTGTGATACATTGTATCTCATTCGAGGTTTAGCTAATCGGGGTTAGAAGGGCTCCAGGTCTTCGCTGGGCCTGAGTTAATTTTTGTTGCAGATAAGATTGCCCCCAAGAATGAAATTGTGATCTGAGCTTTCTCAGTATTGTGTTGTAACCAACCCAGCATTTGCAATGAGCGTTTTCTATCCTGGGACTCAAATACTCTACTTTGGAATCTGGGGAATTTATTTTATTCAATTTAAAACCGTTTTTAAAATGCTTTTCTCGAAATTAAGAAATGTATTTCTTTCTCTTCAAATATTAAAGAAGACAATGTGGAGTTATGTAAATTAAACATAATCATGAGCTTCTTCCAGAGAGCTAAATATAGATATAGATACAGATGATCTGTCTGGCTGGCTGGCTAGCTGTATTTCTCTCTTCAGCCAGGTGTAACTCCTGTTTCTTAGCCCGTAGGGATTTAGACATAAAACTAGGCTCCTGCTACCCTCCCCTCCCTCCCCACTTATCCAGTGCTTACTGCCTGAGCCAGGTCTCTGCTGAGCAACTTATAGCATATCTCATACACTCCTTACAACTCTGTGCCATAATTATTATTTTTATTAATGTCACAGATGAGAAAACTAAGAATCAGTCAGGTTGTATAACTGGTCCAAGGCCACACAGCTAATATATGGTAGAGTTGGGCCTCCGCCTCCAAAGTATATATTTGCAACCACTCTGCTATATTGTAGAATTTCTCTTTCAAAGTCTGTAACCATTTTGTGAGGAGGCTTCTGGATGCCTTAAATATTTACAGAGCATCCTTTAACCGCCCCAGGGCATATGCCAATTTCTTTCTTTGTGTGACGACCTTTGTGCCCAGAACCCGATGCCCCAACACTGCTCACTGCCCATGGGGGCAACGAAGCTGCCATGCTGAAGCCGTTCTCACTGACAACGCAGAATCTGCATCACCCAGGCGCTGACCACGCCTAGGGCTTTTTAATGGTGCGGTCTCGTGGGTTCTCTTCTGCTGCTCCCTCTGGCCGGGACCCAGCATCACTCCATTTAACTGAGCGGCTGATACCATCCTAGGCTCAGGAGGCAACGCTGTGGAGCAAGCCGCTGAGCCTGACCTCTTCGCCTCAAACTTTGTATGTTCAAAACGCAGCTCCATGTATGTCTCCTTTCCAAGCTGTGCCTCTCCTCCCCTCCCCCGTCCCCCTCTCCCCTCCCCTTCCCTGGCCATTGTTCTCCAACACTGGCGGTGCTCACCTCCCCCAGGATTGGGCTCTAACTCTCAGCCTATGTCTTCGACTCTCAGGCCTTCCCCTGCCCCAGCCAAATGAGCCTACATAATTCACGTGTACACATCAGCTCCTTCCTCTGCAAAACCTCCGTCCCGTGTGATCTTTCTCAGTTCCAGACCAAACTCAAGTGTGTTCCCCACAAGACACTCCTGACCTCTTCCTTTTCAAACTTGGGGGGCGCTTCAGGGGGACTTTGTTAGGGAAGGGAAGGCAGGCCGGAGGCCGGGGGTCGCCTCGGTGTCTGCTGTCTGCACGCGGCGGACGCCTGTATGTTCGGGTGGAGTGGCTGAGTCCACACCCCCGCGTGCCCGGCATTTATTTGTTATTCAGTAAATGAGTTGCTTACTTGATACTATCTTTTTGGTTTTATTGTAACCAAGCCTATATCCCAACAGGAAGGGNTGGGAGGGCGGGGTCCCCGCGCCCCTAGACCCTCGGTGTCTGCTGTCTGCACGCGGCGGACGCCTGTATGTTCGGGTGGAGTGGCTGAGTCCACACCCCCGCGTGCCCGGCATTTATTTGTTATTCAGTAAATGAGTTGCTTACTTGATACTATCTTTTTGGTTTTATTGTAACCAAGCCTATATCCCAACAGGAAGGGGCCAGTTTCCATTCCTTTCATATTTTACTTCCTGCCCAGGGGGGAGCATTTTACACTTTCGACTCTTCCCGGTGCTGATGAGTCTGGACTCCTTTGCCAGATTTTTCTAAGAGCCACAGAGCGCTTGACTGGGGGTAGGTGTCCATTTAAGGGCAAGTTGGTTTCTTCCATTTGTTTTAGGGGGGCGGGGAAGGTGCTTGTACGTGTCGTTAACCATAACTTCGCGTTATAGGGATCCTAAAAATTCAGCTGCTGTCAGCCTGTTTGCTCCTTAAATGTCCTTTGAGAGCTTTCTGACCACCGGGAAGTGTCCTGTGTGCACACGGACCCACGCGAGACGGAGTTTACTCCCTGGGCTCCAGGGCAGGTCAGGCTGCTGCAGTAACAGTACCTGACAGATGCTTCTCCCTCGAAGGTATGGCTTCAACAGACCGCGGCCAGAGGGGCCGAAGCAGACATTGAGCCAGGGACCAAAGAGGTGTCAGACCAGGGAGGGCTTTATCCAAGTCATGTTGGGGGCGTGGGAGCCGCTGGCACCAGCTCACCAGCTGCAGCCCTCATCCCACCCAAGGCAGAAAATGGGGCTGTTACGGTGAAAAGCCTGGCCTGCCATGCTGAGGCCTGGGCTTCCCAAAAAAGCAGGTGAGCTTTCAAACCGGTTTTACATAAGAGACTGGCACAGACAAATTTGCATTTGATTGAGAACCTGCCCAGAGAAGAACCAGGTGGTAGCCACAGCTCTGAGAGTACCTACCTATAGCCTGAAAAAAATATGAAGCATTTCCTCCCCCATTTAACTCTCTCCCCTTTAGTTAGACTGTGGTTGGTTGCCCAGCCCCAGGCTGCCATCGCAGCAGGTGCTGGTTTTACACTTCTTCCTAAACTTGAACCTCTCAGAACCAAGCAGAGCTCTGGGTTTCAAGCTCTCATCATTGGATTCCTGGGGATACTGGCAACTGTGCTTTAGAGCTTCCGCATGTCTGGTGTACATTTCATTGGTTCCTAAGGTGTATTTTAACCATTAAAATAATAACAACATGCACAGATACAAAGTTCTACACATTCGGCTGCTTTGAAGACCACTGCCATGTTAAATCCGCAGCCAGTGCATTCTTTAGAATAAAGCAGATTTAAATTTGTAAATGTGTGATTAAGAAGGTGGTAGAGCAGCACTGTCCTCGTCTTTTGAAAAAGTCACGTCCATGAATGTGCACTAATATGTATTTCAAAAGTCAGCATACCTCTACGTAACACTCAGTCAAATGCCAGGCAGGGCCCGGCCCATCTGCTGCAGGACCGTCTGCAGGGCCCGGCCCGGCTGCAGGACCGTCTGCTGGACCCGGCCTGGCTGCAGGACCGTCTCATTACAATATCATAGTGAAGTCCTGTATCTCACTGGTGTGCTGGATGGTGGTTGCCAGTTTAGCATCACCTGATGTGCAAGCCACGCCCCAAAGTAATTAAATCAGAAACCCTGGGGGTAGGCACGAAACCCAGACATCAATATATCTTGTAATAGACTTTATTTTTCACAGCAAAATTGAGAGAAAGTCCCGGGCAGCGTGGCCGTTAGTCAAGCATTGTCTCACGCACCAAGAGGTTGCCAGTTGGATTCCTGGTCAGGGCACGTGCCTGGGTTTTGGGCTCAGTCCCCAGTAGGGGGCATGCAGGAGGCAGCCGATCAATATTTCTCTTTCATCAGTGCTTCTATCTCTCTCTCCCTCTATCTTCCTCTTTCTTTAAAATCAATTTTTAAAAACCTATTTTTAAAGAAATTGAGAGAAAAGTTATATATACCATATGCATTATACCGATATTCCCCCGCTCCCACACATGCACAGCCTCCCCCGTTATCAGCACCCCATCGGAGTGGTCCATTTGTTACAGCTGACGACTGTCACTGACATGTCATAATCCCCCAGAGCCCATCATTACATTAGGTTCGCTCTGGTGTTGTACATTCCCTGGGTTTGGACAGATGTCTGATGACATGTGCCCACCATTACAGTGGCATACGGAGCATTCAGCAGGCACCGGTATTTTCTAACGCTCTGGGCGATTCCAGCGGGCAGCCAAGGTTGAGAGCTGTTGTGCTGTGTTGTGGTTCTGGGCTTCGTTCTTTATCCTAAGTTCCTAGTGCCACTTGTCAGACTTGGGTGTGAAAACCACCTCTGTCTCCTTTGTACATTGGGTTCCCCATAAGATTCTGTTTGAATAAAGGATTCTGTTAGAGCCAGATAATCAGTGTCATGAAGAGCACTTCACTTCATGAAGGCCTTTGGAGTCAGAAGGTTCTGGATTGAACCGTTCGTTCCACATTTGCTGGATAAGTGACTTGGGCAAGTTCCTTAGCCTCTGAGCGTCTGTCCAGTGAGTTACACCCAACAGTGTTGTTGAAAGATAATAAATGTGCCACGGTTTAATGACATCTAACCCTTAGTGAGCTCTCAGTACGAGGTGGTTTTCCCATTGCTTGCTTGCTTTTTGCCCGATTTTGGAGCCAGGACTTTCTTCTTGCCATGTAGGTGCAGCCTTTCCAATCTCTTGTTCTGCTGTTGCTCTGATGTTTTCTATTGGTCTTTTCTGGTTTGGTTTAAATTTGGGTTCAAACATCTTCTGACGTATGGGAGACCTTCTGATGAGATTTGAGAGCTTGGAAATACAGATTTAAGGTCCATCCAGTGGACTAGAAATGTTGATATGCATGGTGAGTGGAAAGCAGGAGAGCATTACCCTTTTATGTATCAGATGGGCCCACCCCGGAGCTTTCAGTGTGTTCTCTGTGCCGAGCGTAACCCATCAGAAGTAAAATGATCCAGTTTCTTACCAAAGGCTTTCATCTGCTTGCTAAGAACCGAGGAACATGTGGACACACCACAGATGACACGGTTCAGGTTGACTACACCTGTGGCATGTGGTGACTGCTTGGCTGGAGGCTTTGGCCTTGAATGGAAGTCCTGGCACCCAGGGCTGCTGCACTCCAAGGCTCGTGTGCCTGTCTCCACAAGACTGCTGGTCCAGCCAGGACAGAGCAAGTCCCAGCGTGGTGTGGAAGAATGAATGGCTGATTGAGAACAGGAAAGCAGTGGCAGGGAAGACGGACACACAGCACACACAGGGGAGGGCAGAGAGGCAGCAGCAGGGCTTGAGGGAGTCAAGTGACTCGTTCAGTAACTGGCCTGATGCGGGACCTTTTGAATCTCTCTCATTTGAGAAACAGAAAGGCCTTTGTTGGTGCAGAAAAGGTTGAGAATGGAGATGCGGCCAGCTGGACGTGGAGCCTGGGTGGAAGGGATGGGCTCTGAGAGGAATTTGGTCATGGTGTGTATTAGGAAAAGCACATGCATTTTTAAAAACTGGTTTCTTAGAGAGGATGGGAGGAGAGAGCGAGAAACATTGAGGTGAGAGCAAACACCGATCAGCTGCCTCCTGCACGCCCCCTACCGGGGATCGAGCCCCAAACCTGGGCATGCGCCCTGACCGGGAATCACACCAGCCACCTTTTGGTGCACGGGGCGACGCTCAACCAACTGAGCCACACCGGCCAGGGCAGTGCATGTATTTTTTTACTGAAGATTTCGAAGTTGAGTCTCCTTTGGGACTCTGCCATCTGACCAGGAAGATGACTGGGAGGAAAGCTAAGTCCCCTGTGCGGCAGGGTCACGCTCCGATTTGACCTGAGTAACCTCTGCAGCACTGGGCTTGGGGCTGTTCTGGTGAAGCCGTTTGTGGTGGAGCAAGTCTAGTCCTTATGGTGAGCCGAGCTCGCTGTGCTTGGTTCCTCTCTCATTCACTCGTTCATTCATGTTTTTCTGACTTTCAACAGATGTTGGACACATTGACAAAGGCAGGCATCCGAGGTAGTGAGGAGATAATGGTGGGCAAGGTGGACGCAGTCCCTGCGCTCCTGGTCGCTCCAGCAGACAGTGAGGGTGCCTCGCCGGGGGATGGGCAGGAAGGGGGGAGCACCGGGCGGGCAGCTTGGGGCCGCCGCTGGGAGGAATTCACATCTATACTGAGGCCTGAAGCATAACTTCAGGCAAAGAGTGTGCCTCCGACAAGTGGAAAGTTTAATGGGTTAATACTCAGGGCTCATTCAGTAGAGCACGTTTGCAGCCCCCCTTCCTTTGTGCCATCCAGAGGGAAGTCTGGAGTAGCCCTGATTCTGGAAGGAAGGAATCACATGAGCTGTAGGGAGACCCTATTCTGGGAGTGTGGGAGGCCCCCCACGTGCCCCCTGGGCTGTCTCCACAATGCCATCAGCAGTGGCGGTGCCCCTGGTCACATGCAGATGCTTTTGCTGGGCATTCAGGAATTAAAGAAGCAAATCTCATCCCTCTACTGACATCTTCTTTTCGCTCTTTAAAAGAGCAATTTGTGTTATGAAAAATAAAATAGATGAAAAAATAAAGCATACACAGAACATGTGATTGAGTGTAGGTATGGGATGTGGACGTGGGTGTGTGTGTGTACAGTCGATAGAGGAAGCATTAAAATGAGCTCGCCTGCCATCATTCCAGCCTCGGACATCCCTTTCCGTCCCGCCCCCTCCACTCAGCTCCCGTCGTAAGCACGGGCCTGAGTTTTGTGCTCAGTGTCTCTAGCCCCTCTCCTCTCGCAGGATGTAGCAGGTCATGTGCACGCTTGTGCTGGGAGACAGTGCAGTCCCAGCTCTCACCGTGTGCCCGCAGCACACAGACAGGCGGGACAGCTGGTTTCAAATAAACTGCTTGGTTGCTCTCCCTAAGCGGGAGAATGACATCAAAGTGCTTCCAAAGTGTTCAAGACGAAAGCCTTCTTTTCGTCTCAGGGAGAACCTTAGCGTGGTCTGTGAAAATGATGAGGTTCTGACACACCAGGGACTGCAGTGGCCCCGGCGGAAAGCGACCAGGACCTGCTTCGGTGAGAGCAGCTCGGACGCCCCCCAGGCCGAGAAAGGGACCCGCGGTAGCAGTGCAAGTCCAGAGTGTTTCAGGCGGCTTCGTGGTGGGAGAGGGACTTCACTTGGAGTAACATCGTCTTGACAGGTCCCCTGGGAGGCGTTACTTATATTCTGATGCAGTCAGCTACAGTATTGAAACAGACCCTGTCTGGAAGTAGCCTCATGGGCAAACCTTTCTTGCATTTGCTTTTTTCTTTGTGGCTGTGATGGGTGTTGTATTCTCCATTTGCCCCCCCCCCC